ACCACTTTTAGCCTTAGGAACTTACTTTCTTAATCATATTATAAAACTACTAAAAATCTCCTTTTACCAAATCTAATCGAGGAAGATTCTGTTGCTTTCTTCTCATTCTTCCCTGGAGCATCACTTTCCAACCAAACTTTCTGTCATGATGAAAATGTATTATCTGTACTGCTCTGGTCAGTAAGTAGGTACTGGCCACGTGTGACCTATCAAGCACGTACAGTGCAGCTAGTAAAACTGATGAACTGAATTTCAAGTTTTATTAATTGCAATCAAGCTGAATTTAAATAGCCACATGTTGCTGGTGATTGCTATATTAGAAGCATAAATTTAGGGTTGTTTTCAGCACAGATAACACTTCTGAAGATTTGACCCTTTTTTCTTCTGGTAGTTTTTAATTCCCTTCTGAAAAGCAGCAAAAATCCTCTTTTACTGTTACCTGTTATTCTTACTAATTAAGACCCTGTTCTTACACCCATTATGATCTTGTTTATTATGTATGGGTTTCACTGTAAACCAAAAAGCAACTACATTTGTAGAACAAATGCCAAATTTATTATCTTCTACAACAGAAGGTATTATATCTTTGTTCCCTCTGAATTTGGGCCATTAAATCTTGGTTAGACCTACTTTCCAATTGTATTCTTATTTTTCTAGAGATCTGTCTGGGCAGTTTCTGTCAGTCTTCTTAAATATAGCAGAAGAGGTCAGACTTTGGGTTGGATTCCAAATTCTTACCATTTTACTAAAGATCTTCCCACCGTCTCTGTGCCATAGTTCCGCATAGAATTATGGTCAGGTTTCCTGCCTTGAGGAACCTTTGCTTTACTTGAATTTCTTCTACTTTGGCCCAAGAATTGTTTACTGCATAACTTTCGGTTTCTCAACCAGTGTGTGCCTGACAGCAGAGTAGGTGCTCCAACTATACATTTGCCTCGAATAAATGAAAAGCAATTTTCTTTTAACAAGTGCCTCTCTTCACTTACACTATTTTCTTTCATATCTTTACACTGGAGAAGGAGTGATAATTTGTTTGAAGATACAGTTTCTGTGAAAGGTGAGACTATTGACAATTTAAAGCAGATATTGGGGCTGGGGATTTATCTCAGCGGCAAAGCGCCTGCCTGGCAAGCGCAAGGTCGTGAGTTCAGTTCCCGGTACCGGAGAAAAACCAAAAACCAAAAAAAAATAAAAATAAAGCAGATTTTATTTAGTGGTTCCCACCACAGTTACTTTTCTACTATATATAAATAAGGAAGTACCATTTGTAGGGATCTTTATCTTCTGACAAGCTTTTGTGTTTTATATATTTTTGAATTCCTAAGCACTTGAAATTGTTCTAGAAATGGTACTGTTGAAAGAAAGGTAACTAATGTGAAGGATCTTCTGCAGGAGACATCACTGTAGGTTGATTAATCTATTGCTTTGTACACATGAAGTACCCAAAGAATGAACTGAAGCAGTTTGGAAGTCAGGATAAGTGAGTAAGAGCCCTTGGATATGTAATTAGAAAAACCAGTGCTTTAAATGAAGATTCGGAAAACATGATTGATGATCTGTTACCTATGGTCTTGGGAGATTTAAGTTTTACAATGTTTACAGTAACGCTGAGAAAGTACAACTGAGCCAAGTACAAGTTAAATTTTTTTCTTACAAAAAATTCAACCCACTGCCCAGGAAAAGGCTTTCATCTTTCAAGATGAAAGAATGAAAATGAATCAGGAACACGTAAGGCTACTACAGAAGCATACATTTATGTGAGCATATGGTAGTAATCCACTCCATTCAGAAGTGTGCCGATTGGAAAATAAGCAGAGCAGGTTTGCCAGGCAGAGATTCTGCCAGATGAGCTTGCTTTTTATTATGGGAAAGTAAAGATGCAAAGAAATAAATACTCCAATCTTTTCTAATTTCAAAGACACTTGAGCATCTCGTTTGAAAAACACTGCCTTCATCTTTATAGATAGTCCTTCAGGTGGTGAATGTAGTAAGGTTCAGTGATCAATTTTATTATTTCTCTGCCATCAAAAGAGTTAATTGCAGTGGAAAAGATGTTTGAGTGCTCTTCAGCACATGTGTGCAACTGATTGCAAAGGGATATAATGTGAGGCTTAGTTATTGATTAATGAGTGAAACTTCAGATTTTGAAGATGGAGGATCAAATCTGAAACAGGGGTCAGGGTGCAGGCGTCAGTTATTTGCACCTGGAGATGTCAAACACTTCTTCCCCACCTGACGACCTCTGATTTCTATATGTGTTTTGTGTTTTAAAATATTGGAAAGAAATTGCAGTAGCTCAGTCAAATGGACTAGCTTCAGCGTGGCCTATAACTGCAGAGAGTTTTCAATGAATGTAATTGGAATTACTGAGTTTTGCTCTGTGACAGGTGAAATTATTGTTTATCAGGGAAAGGTAATTACATATTTGGACTAAAATTAATCAATAGGAACACTGAGAAACTGGAGTTCAAGCAGAACTAGGACATTGTTAAAGCACAATATTGTAAATTGAGGTCAATCACAGCACCTGTGGAATGAGCAAATAATAGTAAACTCAGGAAAATAAAATACATTTTCTATCATATAATTCTCAGATAATTTAAAAATACTTTGAATTTCATTCTGTATTCAGATTACTTTTTTATTATATTATACAGTGTTAGCTTTCCATCACTGTGATGAATACCTGAATACTTTTTTTGGGAGGGGCAGTACTGGAGAGTGAACCAGGCCTTTGCCTGAGATACATCTCTAGTCCTTTTTTATTGAGTCAGGGTCTCACTAAGTTGCCCAGGGCAGGCTTGTATTTATGATCCTCCTGCCTCAGCTTCCCAGAATGCTGGGATTACAGGCATTTGCCACCATGCCTCGATGAAAATAAACTTTTAAGGGAGAGAAAGGTACATAGTCTCAGAGGATTTAGTCCAGAACTGCTTGGCCTTATTGCTTGTGGATCTGTGGTGTTAAAGTACATCATGGTGAGGAGTGCCTGATGGAGGGAACTGCTAATCTGATGATGGCTGGGAAGAAAGGAGAGGGAGAGAGGAAGAGGCTGGAGTTCCAATATTGCCTTCAAGTGCTGTCCCCAATGACCTAACTTCCTTCCACTAAGCTCTGCCTCCCTATAGAGGCAAAAGACGCTGACCAAGCATGTGCTTCTTTGGGGGACATTTAAGATCCAAACTATAACACAAATAGCATTTTTTATTAAGACATAGAATTTTTGAGTCTGAGTACTTTATCTCACATTAAACAGTTTGCAGTGGAACTATAAATAGATTGCAAGATAATTGGCCTTTTATGTGTAACTGTATGAGAATATTGGCTCATGGTTTTTATTTTATTTTATTTTATTTTATTTTATTTTATTTTATTTTATTTTATTTTAAAGACAGGATCTTGCTGTGCAGTTCGGGCTGGCCTTGAGCTCTCTTTGTAGCCCGGGCTGGCCTCGAACTCCTGCCTTAGCCTCCCAAGTGCTGGGATTATGGCTCATGATATTTTAAAGGATATACAGAACTTCAGTTTTTTTATGGACAATGGTTGTTATGTTGTGAATTAGATCTGAACCAGAGAACAGAGATTTCTAGTTGTTCTGAAAAAAATCATGAACTTTTTAATAAAATATCATCTTGTTGAATATCTATTGATGGGAACACCACCTTATGTGATAAATGAGTAAACATCTATTTGAGTTAACTATGAATTGAGCTATGAATTTCGAGACAGATGTTCAAGTAAATCATGTTTGAACAAGGAAATTACTGTACTGTGAGGTCTGCAGACAATAGTGGCTGTGCCCGCTAGATTGGTCCTGTATCACTTGGTAAAGGAACCAGTTAATGGAAGTAGGGATTGTAATGGCAATGTCAAGGTGAGTCTGATTTTAGAAGATAGGAAGCGTGATCTACAGAGGTTTCTTGTAGCTGAGTTTCTCCCAAATAAGTCCTTTGCCCTTCTGAAGTCTTCACCTTTTGCAAACTGTCATATAACGAGGCTGTGTCTGTGTCTATCCCCTTCACCTCTAAACCTGAAAGATCGAGGACAGTCAAGGAAATTTCTCTCCGCCAGGTTGGGATGTAAGTCCATACTCACTAGGGTTGATGTATCAGTGAGGAAAGCCCATTTCCATGTCTCTGGAGCTTTTCCTCACTGAAAGGATTTTCAAATCCAGCCCACTGTGGACTTGAGTCTGGGTAAATGGGATTTCTCTAGGGCCCTAACAAGAGCAAAAAGAAATCTGTGCTTTGATTATACTGTATTTCTGCCTCGAGGTGCTTTGGCTCTTACTGGAATCTTAACTACATAAAATGTCTTTTTAAAATATATTCTTCATTATGACAGTCATAACTGAGCAATTCTGAAGGTGCATTTCTGTGCTAAAACTAGAGATTGTTACTAGAACAAAGACTTCCCCATGAAAGCACTGAGTGAAGTATTGCAGTCAGTGGTTTTGGCCAAGTTGTTCCCTGTGTCCATGATCATTTGTCGCTGGATATTGATTGGTAATCATCTAATACAAAATATATAAAAATTAAGTGTTTACTGTCCTCTTGGTTACCATATCTGGTATTTTTTTTTTTTAAGCACTTTTGTACATACAATTTCCCTTATTCCTTCTCTGATCCTTTCTTCCCATTTGGAGATAAATGAGGGGAAAAAACTCCTGGAGATATATATATGTATATATAAAATGCACATGCTATCAAATTTACTTTGTAATTTTACATTATGCCATGGACATCTCTCTTGAAGCCCTCATATTTATGCCTCAGAGATGTGGACGTATACATTGAAAATATCCCCAGTATCTGCTGAATGTAAAGCTCATTTGATATAACAGTTTCTTACAGGATTTTTTTTTTCTTTTTTTGCAGAGTCAATCTCTTTTTGGAAGTGAGCATTAGTTGGTCATACAATATTACTTGGCTAAAGGAAGTTATATAATTCTGTAAGTGCAATCCAGACTTCTAACTTTGGTCAGTGTTCTTGCTCAACAGGGCCCATTTGGAGGCCAGTGCTGAGAAGTGGAACAGGTTACTGGCGTCTTTAGAAGAACTGATCAAGTGGCTGAATATGAAAGATGAAGAGCTTAAAAAGCAAATGCCAATTGGTGGCGATGTTCCAGCCCTACAGCTCCAGTACGACCATTGTAAAGTAAGTCGATGGTCCAGGGTGGCATCATTTTCTTTCTTTCCTTTTTTTAATTTTGGTGAAGCAAATATTTCAAACAAGATTCTGGATGAATGCCAAAGTTGAACTGATTATCACAGCCCCTCTTCTTGCTTCTCTTTGTATTTAGGTGTTTTGTGTAAATTTCATCTATTCCATTTGCTTCATGTTAAATTATCTTTCTACATTTAGGCAAAAATTTTTGAAATACTACTAGTATCTAAAAGATAGTGTGGCTTTTACCTTATGAAATTTATCTAATGTTCAAATAGATTCTGGAATATTAATATAGCATATTGGGAAAACTTATAAATGACAAATTAATCTTAAATTCAGGGCTCAGAGAAGCATAAAGTTTTACAAACTCTTACTTATATTAAGTGAAAGTGAAAGAAGGCTTGTGATAGTGAGGAAATAGGAGAGTCTTAAAGCAAATGAAGATGACGTTATTTAAATCATTTCGTGTTTTATTTTTCTGAATTTGTACCTTTCTTTAAATTATATTTTTATTTTGCTCAGATTTGTGCTTTGATTTGATTAGGAACCATATATGCTAAAATATTATCAGCAGACACATCCCTAGATCCTTGTATTTTAAAAAAATTTTTGTCTTGTCTACTTTTCAGTAATTTAATTATGATTTTTCCTATGGTTTTCTCATATATTACAGATTACCTTTTTGTTGTATTTTTCGATATTAGCATGCAGTACAAGTTCATTCTAAATCCATATATTTTAATGTAATGTTAGAATTATGTTCCCATTGAAAAATGACAAAACACTAGCGCCTGCTTCTTCTAAAGGAGGATATCATCTATTTCATCAGTTGCTCTAATAATATGACCTTGAATTTGTTTGCTGTCTTGTGACTAAGTTATTAAAATTACCATTTGCGTATAGTTTATCTTTCAGCTTCACATGTGTTCATTACTAGGAGGTTGGCTATGCAAATTTGAAATTAGTGGAATAGTCACGGTTAGTGACCAAAATCCCCACCTATACACCAGCCTCACTTGTTGGAATTGTCACACATACACACACACACAAACATACACATGTGTATATACTTTTTCAGATTTTGAAATTTGTGGAAAGTCTAATATTCTTGAGCCCCTTTTTCATGTGAGATATGGTGGTCCGCTGTGAATTGTGTATGATGAGGGCTTAGGGTGCACTGGAGTGGTTTAGCATAGTGGTGATTGGCTCCTCATATGTGTGACAATTTAGGGCAAAGATAAGAATGGGTATTGTTCCTAAAGGACGTGGTAGTGGAAATGGCATCTGCCAGTAATTCAATTAAATGGTGATTTCATCAGTGGGTTAATCCACCTGAGAAAGTTAGAGCCCTCATTATGTAATCACTTCCCCAAAGCCCATTAACAACCAAGCCTCTGGCATGTGAGTTTTGGGCAACATTTCAAACCTAAACCTTAAAGGCACTAATCCCTTCCTTGAACATTCTTCTTTTATGAGCTGATCACCTCTCAAAGACCCCAGCTTCCTAATACTATTAGTTGGCATCAGGATTTCTTTTTTAGGGGTACCTGGAATCAAACTCAGGACCTTGCGCTTGCCAGGCAGGTGCTTGTGCAACTGAACTATATCCCTGGCCCTGTGTCAGGATTTTAGCATATGAATTTGCAAGTAAGCATCTTAACCATAGCAAGTAAGTCCACCTGGCTACACAGAATGGTTCTGAAAATCATGAAATAATGTAAATGACAATTATTTTAAAGAGCTATATTATTTTATGGATATTCTTTCACAAGCGGCCTTTCCAGATTTTCAGTGTTTTAATTTATATTATTATAATTGTCATGTATCATATCATACCATATAGATATCATACAATTATGCATAATTATGATTAATTTATATTAGTAGGAATGTATGTTTTTATAATTAGGGTGAATCATTATGCATATGTAATTATTTACCTTTCTTACTGAACATAATTAGCCATAATCGAAAAGTCTAGATATCTTTAGACTGTGTCAGTTAACTCAGAGTCATGTGAAGAAGTTGAATAAAACAATTATAAATAGACATCGGGTGCCTTTTTTATATATACATATATATATATCACTGGCAGTTGGTATATCCAAGTTGATTAGGCTATTTGGGACTCTTCAATACTGCGATATTATGCTGTATTCTGAGGCATCTTATGTTGGGCGCATAGCACAGGAGCTTGCGTAGATCTCTTCTTAGGGCCACTTCTGCTGCTCCCTGGCTCTGTGATACAGACTTTGGGGTGTGTTGTCGAGTATTCCAGCCCCGGCTTACTTCCCACCAGTATATTTAAGCTAATGAGCATAGGGTGTCTAGCAAATGCTAGTCAAATAATCGCTGTTAGTTATTATGTAAACCAGGCCTTGCGTTTTCTGGTACATTTTAAATTGTAGTTGCTTCAGGTCTGTATTTTGTACTTTTCCCTGAGCTCTGTATTTGTAGGCACGTTTTTAGTTCCATGACTTACTGAAAGATACCTTAGCTTCCTGAGGAAATTGGATGAAGTCATTGAAACAGCAGCATTTTTAAGAATTTATATAGTATAACAGAATGGGGCTAGAGACTGAATCTTGTTCTTAATAAAAGAAAACAGCTAATCCTGGGAAGGCTGAGGCCATAAGCCATATCTGCATGTACTGTATTTCCCTGAAAAGAAGAGCAGGTCTTATATTAATTTTTGCTCCAAAAGACACAGTAGGACTTATTTTTAGGGGATGTCTTGTTTATTTCGTGTACAAGCATCTACATTTATTCCTGTCCAGAAATCAGTATTTATTCTTGTACAAAAATCTATAATTATTCAAATACAGTCACGTCGTCTCATTCTGGAACACTGTGATAACTCTCCAAACCCCGAATTCTGGCCTGCATTTCCTGTAGAGCCATGAGCTCAGTCTCTCACGTCCAGCAATAGCGCCCTCCTTAGGTGCGCGCTCCTGATCCACGGAGCCTGCTCGTAGCACGTTGGCAACACAACTGCCAGTGATTCTATCCCATGAATTCCTCACCTGAGTCACAGCCTCTTGCAGGCTGGGCTTCACAGAGCTTCCGTTTAACCAAGTGTTCACTGAAGACTTAGGAGACAGGAGTGGTGACAGAAATGACAACAGGTGAGAATAATGGGCCACACAAAAGTGATGAAAAGTCACAGGCACCAAAATTCAGAAAACATTTGTTTATTTCACACAAGTGCATTAAGTATGTCTGTTAGATAGTCGACATACTGAATTAGAAAGATTCAGATTAGACACAACCATGTCTGTTGTCAAGGGTGCATGTTATTCACCCGCTGTGTCTACTCTGACTGGTCATCAGGCAGTAAGCCTTGAGTTCATCTGTTCACATAGGTGTTTGCCTCTCATCCAGAGGTACCCCCTTGAGTATTTACAAATAGCTAATTATTATTATATTATTAAGTATTAATGCCAATAATATTTATTGATATTTAATTATATATTAATGGTATTTTATAATTCAATATGTCTGTCATGTTGCAACAGGTGTACTAAATGTATTTGTCTATTTGACATCCTTCACTGGGGCTTATTTTTAGGGTAAGGCTTATATATGAGCATCTGAAAAATCGTTCTGGGGCTTATTTTCTGGTTAGATCTTATTTTCAGAGAAATAAGCTACTACCTCGAGCCGACTTTCAAAGGTTAATAGGCAAGTTATAAACATTTCACTGTGAATCTAAAGGCTGTTAATATTTGAATGCTGACATAATTTATAAACGAAGGAACAAAATTTATATGCATTATTTTATATTTGCATTTGCATGAGTTTATGCTGGGTCCAAGTGTTCATCCATGGTCAAAGGTAGTCATGCTGCCAGACGCATGCGTATGGTCACCCTGGATGTTTAGCGACTGGCTTATAGGTACTCATACATTCTCAGTCCTTTGGTTCACCCACCCACACACACGGACACACATGTCCACCGCTGTAGTGCTTTGTAAGTACATCACTGATGAGTGACTCTTTTCATAGCTGTTTTTTCAGTCCCAGCAGTGCCAGTCACTTCACGTTCACCCATCCACTCACTGCATTCACTTACAGCGTTATGCAGTAAAACTGATACTTGTGCACCAAGAGCAAAAAGGTTCAGCCTCTGCGCCTCAGTGATCTATTCTAGTAATTGCGATTCTTAAAAGGTCTGTGCTTGTGATTTGTTGGTTGTATCCAAAAGGAATATTCTACATTTTAATTTTTAGGTAAGGGCTCTGAGACTTCAACTAGAATGGCACTGTAAGTGTCTCATGTCCAAACCTCTAGCGGTTATGGATAAAACATAAAACAGAAAGCCAAACATGGTGCCACTGGGATCTAAAACATAACAACAATCTATAGACCAGAAACAAGCAGAAAAACAAAAGCTCCTAATGAGGTTGATACTGCTTTAAAAAAACAACAACAACAGCCTTGCGTAATGAAAAGGAGGAAAGTCCCAAAGCAAAGTTTCTGTTCAGACCTCTCTTCCAAGCGGAAATGGTTTATTCACCCATTGGCATTCTTTCCTTCTGGAATGTAAACACTAGGACGTTATGAAATATCAGTGTATTGTGGACTGTTAATTAGATGCTTATACTTTCTTTGATGTGACTCAGAATATTGATACATTCTCAGTTACATCAATAATAAATAGTTTGTTGAATGCTTTAGTAATACACACACATTGGAAGAAGCAGTAGGATAATGATAACATTATAGGGTTCTGTCTTGGTTACTTTTCTCTTCTTGCTGAGACAAAAAAGCTGATGCCCAAAATTAAGGAAGGAAAGGTTTATTTAGCTCACAGTTATGGAGGTTTCCATCCATACTTGGCTGGCTGCAAAGCAGAGTGGCACATGGCAGAGGGCAACAGTTTGTGGTGGCAGAAAAACTGCAAAAGTAACAAGAACAAAAAGAGAGGAAGGGCGGAGATCAAGTCTCTTTCCCTCCCTTATACTGTATGCAGGCTGCCCGCCCCAGGG